CAGCAGCCTTGTGAGGGCTCGGGGGAAGAAGCTGGGGGGTGCGTGGGGACATTTGGTCTGAAAACGGCTTTGTTCAGAGATGTGTAGTGGCCCGAGACTGCTCTGGGTTCACCCACCTCCACCTGGCTCCCCAAGCGGGGAAGGGGGGGCTTTGTTCACAGCCTGTGCTCGTTTCCAGGCGAAACGCTGAAGCTGGCGACTGCCACATGGCTGGGGGTCACCATGGGGAGGAGAGAGGCCCAGCTTCCAGATCTTTCTAAATTAAAAACAGGGAAGGAAAACAGGCACGAAACAACCCCTCGCTCACACACCAGCACAGCATGGCCACGGCAGAGCGCAGCCAGGACGGGGCCATGGGGAGCACCTCAGCTCACCCCGAGCTCGCCCGTGGCCGCAGCGCAGCGCCCAGGTGATGCCACAGGCTCCCCACCGGCCCCTCTTCCCTCTCCATCTGCAAAACCTCTCAGCAGAACGTGCTGAGCCTTCATCCCGCCCAGGACACCTCGCCAGCCTCCTCCTCCTCTGCTCTGCCTGGAGCAGGGGCTGCGGGGCAGGAGCACCCTCGGGGGGAGCAAGGAGGCCCCGGGGGCTTGCTGCGCTCCATGGGGCTGAGCCCAACCCCGGGACTGGGTTCCCACCGTGGCCCTGGGCACCAACCGCTGCTTCGCATGTTAATTACTGTTAATGACCATAAATGCAGCAGAGAACAGGCTCCCATGCCTCAGCCAGGTAACCTGCAGCTCCTGACAGCACATTGAAGCTGCCAAGGCCGTGTAGATGAGCAGCTCACCTGGATCTTCAGTCACCCGGAGGAAATGTTTGTGTTTAATCCCCGTTTAAGGGTGGCAGCGGTGGGTGAGTTTCAAACGGCTCCAGGGCTGGGGGGGACACCTGATGCCGGCAGACGGACTCGACCCTGGCCAGAAATCTCCCACGCAGCGCGGGGTGCTCCAGGGCTGCCGGACCTCTCGGGCAGAGCTGCTGCTCCTCCGCGGGCTGGTTGAGCCCAGCTGGCAGAGCAACTGCCGGAGGAGCTGTTATCTGATCATTTCACCTCAAACTTCCCTGGGCGGCTGCTAAACTGCCAGGAAGAGTTCAGTCGGGTTCAGAAGTTGGAGCAGTGGCAGGCCTGGAACACTGGGCGGGAGGAGATGACTTCCCTTGTTATCCTGTGTTATGAGGCATAAGATGTTCTCCTAAGATGTATTTAAGGACGATCGGAGCAGCAGTCTTTCAAGGGAACATTAGCCATCTGCAGGAAATTAAGGGTATTATCTCAGTAATTTTCTGCCTACCTCTAGCACCAAGACCGGAAAGTCCCCTGACAATTTGAAATTCAACTCCAAATTCTCCAAACACCCTGAAAACTTTCCAGGCTGCCAGAGTAACGCGGCGCTTGTGCCCTGGCCAGGCCTGCCAGCTCGCCGGGCAGCGCAGAGCGGCGGCGGGAGGGATCCCACCCCAAGAGGGGGATGCAGGTGGCTCGGGGGGATGTGGGCTCCCCAGGGGCCAACTGGGCTCTCTCTGGGGCATGCACCCCCTTCCCATGAGTCTGGCAGAGCCGAAGCATCTCTGGGACACGGGACACACGTCTTTGCAGAGCTTGTACTTCCCCGGCCGCGTCCTGGCTCCTGTCTGTATCAGGGCAGGAGCAACCAACCTCCCTGGGAGCTGGGGCAGAGGGTCCACAGCGCTCGGGAGAGGGGAGAAGAGCCTTTGAGTCTCGTGGTGTGCTGGTCCATCGGCTGCGTGGGGCAGATCACCCCAGAGCAGGCTGAGGGTTGGAGTCTGCGTCCCAGAAAGGAGCATCCCGGAGGGACGGGGCTCAAACACCCCAGGCACCACCGGCGAGTGTTCCTCAGCTTGGGGGCTGTGTGCTCTTATTGTTATTCTCTAGGGAATGTTAGTTCTCTAGGGAATGTTAGTTCTCTAGGGAATGGTTAATATTTGCACAACTGAGGCTGTGAAATGGGCTGAGAGGGGTCTCCTTGCTCCTGCCTCTGCCCGAGCAGCTCAGCTCTGGCAGCGGGGGGTTCTCTGGACACTGTACCTCCCGCTCCCGGCTGCTGAGGGGCTCCGGGCACATGCTGCTGCCCAGAACCTGTGTTGGCAGGGTCAGGTGTTCAGACACCCCCGATAACTCTGCTTGGCAACTGCAGGTGGGGCAGAAAACAGGGCAGCGTTGAGCCTACAGCTCCAGAATCGGGGATGGGAAAACGCAGCTCCCCGCTGCCCGCCCTGCCCTGCCTGCAGGCAGCACTGCCCAGCTCAGGCCGGCTCTGCCACGTTTGCGTTGCCGCTCTTGGCTGGAGCGGGCCTGGACGCAGCGCCGGGGTCTGGGCTTTGAAGCTCGGCTGCTGCTGCAGGCGTGGAGAAAACAGGAACCTTTGAAGTCTGGTCGGTGCTGAAAACACTCCATTACGCTGCGGTCGTGAGCGGCTGATTCTGGGAACTGGCAATTCCTCGGCCGCGATGGGCTCTGCCGAGCGGGCACCTCTGGGTAACGCTCCCTCCTGCGGCTCCGGATTGCCCCTGGAGACACAAACCGTTTCTCAGCCCAGCTTTGCCTGCCCCGGCACAGACCTTGGGTTGTTGTTGTAGGCTCGCGTGCGAGGAGCAGACGCTCCATGTGCTGCTCTGTTGTTGCAGGGCTGCCGCCAGCTCTTTAAACCGAGAAAGGGATCACAACGCGCCTCGTACATGTGGCGTTTATGTGCTGCTCGGGGAGCCGGAGCTTGAACCCAGCCGGGGTTGGCGGGCGCAGGCCGGAGGAGGGAGCTGCCCCCGTGGCCGTTCGCCTCGGAGCCGGCCCAGGAGCCCCGGGAACTGGGGAGGTGTCCTGGGCGGGATGAAGGCTCAGCACGTTCTGCTGAGAGGTTTTGCAGATGGAGAGGGAAGAGGGGCCGGTGGGGAGCCTGTGGCATCACCTGGGCGCTGCGCTGCGGCCACGGGCGAGCTCGGGGTGAGCTGAGGTGCTCCCCATGGCCCCGTCCTGGCTGCGCTCTGCCGTGGCCATGCTGTGCTGGTGTGTGAGCGAGGGGTTGTTTCGTGCCTGTTTTCCTTCCCTGTTTTTAATTTAGAAAGATCTGGAAGCTGGGCCTCTCTCCTCCCCATGGTGACCCCCAGCCATGTGGCAGTCGCCAGCTTCAGCGTTTCGCCTGGAAACGAGCACAGGCTGTGAACAAAGCCCCCCCTTCCCCGCTTGGGGAGCCAGGTGGAGGTGGGTGAACCCAGAGCAGTCTCGGGCCACTACACATCTC